AACTGCTGGTGGCTGGCATCTGGCTACCCTCATTACCTCTGAAAGGAAGTACTGAGATGTTTTTGAGAAGGCATCATCTTGTTTCAGGCAAAATATTTCTGGAAACAACTTAAGTTAAAAAAAAAAAAAGCTTCTTAGGATGGACCAAAAATACAAAGATAGGATTAGATTTGAAGTCAAATGTCTGATTGGTTAGAGAAATTGAAAAATAGAAAAGAAAGCATCATTAGACATAACAATGTTAAAAGGGAAGGAGGAAGCCTAAAACTCCATCAGATTTCTGAATACTTTAATACTTTAGCCACTTGGCTAACAATTGGTAAAGCTCAATGACATAATTGATACAGGATTTAGAAATCATTTAGAACCACTTTAAAAACAACCACCTGATCCCTCGTGTGTAGAGCTAAAAGCCCGGGTGGGTCTGTCCCTTTTCTGAGGGTTTATATCCTAATACTAACAGGTTTCCCTCACTTCCAGGCGTCTGTGAGATTATTTATGCAGCTGAATCAAGATGCTGACTTCAGCACTGTAAAAACACAGCAGCCGGGAGTCCAAGCACAAGAGCCTGATTTGCTGACAGTTTTATAAGCTTCAGTAAATGCCAATGGCTCCCTCCTTTCTTTGTGTGGCTTGCATTTAAGTGCTCGCAGTCTGGAAAGTGGTTACTCTGGGTCCCTTGGTGAGGTTCATGGAAGGAGCTGCCCAGGTGAATCAAAATGTGGTGAGGTTCTGGAAAGTGTGTCCTGCTGACTGATCACAGGGGCTGCTTGGACCACACGTGGGAACCACGGTGTGTGAAGTTCTGGAGCACTAGTCTCCAATTCAAGTTCAGAAGCTTATTAAATATGATTCTAGAACCCCAAGAGAAGCTCAGAAAGACATGGTCATCAACTAATGACATGAGGACCTGCCAGTTCTCTTTTCAAAATCACTAACTCCAAGAAGTGAAGTGTCCAACTTCATACAGAAATGGAACGTAGATGAATGAATTTCGCTGAATGTGGGAGAAGAAGAAATAGTCCCCATCTCTGCTCAATATTCCAGCCAGAATAAGTACACATGGGTATGAGTGCACACATGCACACACATACACACACCACCTTCTCAAACAGAATATTTAGCACATGCAAGTTCATTCTGCTGAACATGCAAATCCATGTAATTTTCACCCTATTAAACTTGTAAAATCTGACACCACAGAGCCAATCAGTAGACACAGACCTGCCCTTCAGTTCAGAACCCAAGACAGAGAGGCCTTCTGCCAGCTGAGCCTTTTGTGAAGGGGCAGTCACTGTATTAAAAGCTAAGTTTTGACTTATCAGGTGTAGCTTTAAGAATTTTACCAGCATTGTCTCATTTATTCAGCCTGTAGGAATGTAAAAACTTTTATTGTTAGGTGATTTCATTTTCTTATATTTTGTGATAGACATTGTAGCTTAGAAAGTTTATATAGTAGCCAAGGCAAGTGTGAGACATAGGTCACTTTGAACCCATATTCTGTAATGCAAATGCAATGTGTATCAGTTAGTTAATGTTACAAAGATGCAACATAACAAATCACCCTAAAATATAACGGCTTTATAACAACCATAATCTATCCTCAAGTATAGGTGGGTCAGCTGGGATCAGCTTTGCTAACTCAGTGTGGCTTGAGTGACTTTGCTCTACCTAAGTCTCTTCCTTTTCCTGGAACAGTGAACTGGCCAAGTACATGCCCTTGTTATGTCGGCCAACTTGCAAATGTGCAAGTGGAAATACACAAGTCCCTGGTCTAGTCTTGGAACTAGTAGTCCTCCACCTCCCCACCCCGTCTTTCTATTCACCTGGACAAAGAGTCATATGACCAAGGAAATACACTCCATCCCTTTTATAGGAAGAATGGCTATCTGTAGATGGCGGAGGGCAGAGAATTTGGCTTAGTATGCATCTGCGCAATCTGCCTCCACTCTTCCTCCCTAGAGCCATTCCTATAAGGCTGAACTTCCTGGGAACTTGATGAATTCATTCAAATGTGTATTATTTAATGTTGGGAGATAAATTGGTATTTCCCCCTAGTTAAGAATAATGACTTTGGCATTAAGATTATATACATCTTCCTGAATCCCAGTTGTTGCTCACTAACAAGGGGACCTTGACTGAGTTACTTAAACTCTATAAATCTCATTTTCTTAGTAATATAAATAACATGTGCCCAATGTGGTGGGGTCAATGTTTCCTGCTAATGTAGAACTTACCATTCAACAAGAGGTTGATATCTTAGCTATTCTTCAGCAAGTGTTCACAATATGGCAATTGAATGGGGTAAGTCCTGTCTGGAAGGCCAAGTTAACAATGGCTCCTCTGCAACAAGGACATTCCTTTCCCCCTCCAAAATACAGAAAGATTCATATGAAATTCATAGGAAGAGAAATAAATAAAAATTGCCACTCAAAGATAGTACCATTAATGTTTTAGGTACATCATTCAGCAAATACCTACTTAGCAATCACCATGGTTCTACAGTGCTAGTGGTTGGGAAGACACAGAATAAGAAGACACAGTCCCTGACCTCAGGGATCTCATAGCTTCACAGGAAAGACAGACTGAAAGATTAGATAATTAAAATACATCTTGATACTTGCAATGAGAGTTGTAGACTGTGGCAGTATGAATAAGAAAGACTCCCCCAGTATATATGTGGAGTAAGATGGGGTGGATAGAAAGGAAGGCCACTTGTGGGGAATTTCCTTGTTGACAATTCAAAAATAAAGACACATAGGAGGGAGGAGGAACAGTATCTAACCCACCTTCCAGGAGTTAAGCACATGTTCCTTCATCCTTCTGTGGCCAAAGCTACTGCTGATGAGGGTGGCTTCCCCCTTGGGGCCTTGGGATCTGGTTCCATGATCTAATGCATCAGAAGTCCCACACAGTGTGGCAATAGCAACCTCTGGGTCAGACCCGGCCTCTGTCTTGCTCTAGAGACTATAGCCTGCCACTGGCGGAGGCAGCTGGGGAAGAACACAGGTGAACAGGTCAGTTCCCCATATACTTTCATCTTCTGGCTGTAGTCTGGGTGCTAAAGTAGCTGAGAGTGTTGCTTCAGGATAACTGCTGGCCCAGAACACTGCTCCCTCGCTGGCTATTTCTCCCTCAGGTACTTATTTCATCTTTAATGTGGCAATGTTAATGATTGAAAACTGTGGAAAGAAGGTGAAAGGATTTCAGAGTTGTCTCTGAGCATCTAGTTCACCAGTAATCAATTGAATTCCCAGAGACAGTCTACCTCTCTTCTCTAACACTCACAGAACTGTGACCAACACTGGCTCCCCATTCTCACAGAGATGCATTAGTGGAAGAATTTCTGTCAGTTCAGTGTATTTGATAGAGATGAGAGATGGAGTCTTCTAGGTCACTGGGATCGTCTATGTGGGTGTTTTATTCAAAATGTGTTTTCATTCAAAATCTCTGAAGTAAAACTCTACTGCATATTAATTAACTAGGAAGGAGAGCTAGTGGCCTTCAGAGAGCCATGTTTAAATATACCTTGAGACTGTTTCCCTGAAATTTCTTCTTCTCCCCAACCCCCACTCCAGCCACATTTTCTAAATGACTATATATGGGCATGCTCTTGTCTTGCACAGTTTTCTCTTATAATCACTGCCTCTCTGGCATTGCCTCTTCCTTATTGCCTTTACAAATGAGCTTGATTAGTACCTGCCTGCAAAGGGCATTTGCTGGGACTAGTTCCTTTAAAACATTCTGATGAGCAGTGGCAATTATAAAAGCAAAATTAGAACAGGGACTGAAAGGGAATGAGCAGAAGGGGCAGGAGCCCCAAAAGGATGTTGTTCTTCTCAAGTTTTGTGTGTGTGCACACACGTGTGCATGTGCACATGTGAGCGAGTATGTTCATAGTACTTCTGTCTCCCCTTTTCCAACAAGCAGCTTCACTAGAAAAAAGTGCAACAAGTTCTCAGTCGGAGGCGCCTTGATTATAATATTCCAGTCTCCAAATTCCTCTAGAACAGCTTAGCAGGAAGCTGTCATGAGTATACATCTTAGCCTGTGCTTGCTTAATTTAAGGACCCTGGGTCAGAGAAATAGCACAACTGAGAAACTTCTCATCAACAAAGAGGTATTAAATTTCTCAGAGCAAATTATTGCACATCCTCTTGAACAGTCATAAAATGTCTGCATCTGGTTGCTTCTAGAAGGTAGGATTTATGCTATTTCTCTTTCCTCCTTTGTATCTATATTTTTAAATTGTCAACAAAGTACTTCCTCAGGAAGTGGCCTCCCTTTCTATCTGCCCCCTCTTACTCTCATCTACATTGGGGAGTCCTCTTTGTTCATACTACCCTGTGTCTACAACTCTCATTGCAAATACCATATCATATTTTAATTATTTACTCATTTAACCTGTCTTTCCCATGAAGCTATGAGATCCTTGAGGTCAGGGACTGTGTCTTAATAATCTTGTCTTCCAGCCACTAGCACTATGGTCATTGTTAACTATTTGCTGAATAAATGAAGGACCCAAACCAGTAACAGTGTTGTCTTGGGTGGCAATTTTTATTTTTTCTTTGCATTGTCTTATTCCAAGCATTTCTGCATTGAAAATGGAATACTTCTAAAATCAGATTTAAAAGGAGGTTTCTAATAATCAAGTCATTCCTTTCTTGTAGTTGCTCTAAGTGAAGAAATCACACTGATGAATTAAATCAATAAACACATTTTTGCTCAGTGCCTGTGTGCAGATTTCTTCTGAATTTGAAGATTTTCCCATTAAAAATAATTTAAACTTTTTAACCACATATATTCCCATCCATAATTTCTTTAAATGCCCTCAGCTTTGGAGTTTGAATGTGTGTGCAAAGTGAAATGCTGTATGATGCCTTTTGGCTTCCAACAGTTTAAGACATACATACATGAGGACTGTAAGGAAAATAGGCTTTTTGTCTCCATGAGCTTGGCATGAACGGGATGTACTTTTAAAATATATGCATCCACTTGCTCTGGTCTTAAAATCCTTTTATTTCTAGCTCATGTAAGCCCATTTAGAGAAGCAATGATTTTGTCTCTTCACAAAGGACAGACAGGGGTAGATGTGCAGAAAGGAGCTGTTCCACCATTGTCAAATTGAAGGCCCATTCATCTTCTGGGTAGGAGAGGTGGAGGAGAACGTTGGTGAGAATTTGAGTTTGGGGAGGTTGGGATTAAGTCACTTCCTGAAAGAGAAAGCAATAAAACAAAGGCAATGAGTGACATGGGGAGTCAGTCTCTACCTCCTCTCTTGACTTCTTCAATGACACCTGATAAAGAAAACAAGCCTCCCTAACATCTGGAAACTAATGTAACATGACATCTTGGCCCCTCTGTTTTCACAAGCTAGGTTGATTCTTCCAGCTAAGTCATGCATTCTCCCATTGGACATCAACAATCTCAGAACATCTGCCCAGACCAGGCCATACAGGACACACATAATGATCCCCGAATCTTGTTAAATAAATGACAGCTACATCTTTACCAATTCCAGCGTGAGCCTGGCTCTAGTCTGCCTTTCCTATAGAGGGATTTATTGAGATACCCACACATAGGATTGCCTTGCTTTCCAACAACCACTAATATAAAGTAGCCCTGCCTTCCTTGGGTCCTCCCCTAATCACCCAGCCAAAGAACAAATCTACTAACAGGTCCTTTCAAATATTATCTTATATTGAAATACACTCAGTGCAAAAGGTGTGTTTTCTCTCGATATGGGCTAATAAATCCATCTGGTTCAATTTGGAGTGTGTTCCTGGTGACCTTTGACTAGGATGCTGAGATATCTTCACTACCAAGTCACTGTTCTAAGAGCTCAGTTACATATTTTGCTTATTGAATACTGAACATTTTCTTTGTCTAAAACCCCTGTGTATCTCAGGCCATACATGTAATCAGTACCACTAAGAAACTCTTCTCCTTGTGCTGTTTGCTGTGATCTCTCATTCACCTGTATCAAGCATGCTCTCCCACATCACAAACAGAAATTCCAAACCAGTGAGCAAACACTTACTGAGGTTAAGCTTTGGGATAAAACTTCTGGGGAAAAGCTCTGCCTCCTTATTTTTTAGCTACCCACCAAGTACTTCATATGGTGTGGAGAGCGATGTTTCCCATGTACCTTCAGGGAGCTTACCCCATTGTGGATTACAAGACAAGTACATTCTAACCAATGTGAAACTACAAACCAGCGATGTCATCCATCAACTCTTTCTTATCATGGAATTGGCAGGATGCATTAACAAAATGGTAATTATTTATTAATGGTTACTTGAAACCTGGGCATTCCCCATATGATTTCAAAACACACAGCACCATTTATTTTAAGTGGTTTCCTGACTTAGATAGATTGAATATTCTTCATACTGGCAAAGGCATAAATGCAGTGATGTTAACCAGAGTAGCTATAGAAACTATACTCTCCCTGCAAAGTCTTGGAAGATCTCTGAACAACCATCCACAATAAGGAAACATCAAGGGGATGGAAAACCATCTGGTCTCTACAGCTAGAACACTTGAACAGCTTGTAGAGAGAAAAAAAATTAAACCTTACAATAAAAATCTGGCAGATGATAAACACACAATTTTTACATTTATCAGCCAGTTGCTATAGAATAAGATCAACATGGAAAGAAAGGGCACTGTCAGAGTCCAGCACCCCAGGCTAAAACGAAAAGACAGCAGAAGAAACTCGAAATCGAAGTTGATAATGGTTATTCTGCCCAAATACACTACTCACAGGAAAGCTATATATTTTCTTTTCAGATGATGGGAAATCCAAACAGAAAAAATTATACAGAGTGTTGCGAGGCAAAGCATTTCTATGTGCTTTCAGCTCAGATGGAAGCAAAATGTAATGATAGCTCCAGCAGGAAAGTCACTTTTTTGATGTCCAAGCTAGTTTGGCAGGTTTGAAGGCAACAACCAATCTAAGCCCTTTGGTGGAAGAAATAGAATTTCCAAGGAAGCCCCTGCTTACTGGTATAGACAAGGTCTTTCCTAAACATTTCTATATCCTTGTCTCTCCTGGCTCATCTATTGTGTAGCCCAGACAGTTTTCAAGCTCCAAGTAAGATTTTGACAAAAGTCTCAGTATCATCCTGAGCCAAACGGAGCTTAAGATTGTCCATCACATAGTGGCTTTGTGTGGGTATGTAAAATGAAGTGCACAATCATGCAGTCACAGGGCTTCTCTGAAAATGGAACTGAAAGTTTGCCAGGGTTTGGCCTGCTTTAGCTCACCACTTAACAGCAGCCAAGTTGTTCTTCATGGAACTTCCATCTGTCTCTACAGAGCAATGATCTGAAGAATTGGAGACATGAGATACTAACTCTACACAGAATAGGGCATTTTCATTTTTTCAAAGTCCCTTTAAAGCCATTTAATGTATGTTTGTGAGTGTGTATTTATATAACTATGTCACCAAAAAGATAATATTCTATGAATATATATAAAGAAAGGGAGAGTGAGCCCCGCCTTTTCCGCCCCCTAATCCCATCACCCCAGAGATAACCACTGTTACTGGTTTCATATGAATCTTTTCATCTTTTTGTTTTCATTTCTAAAACAAAAATTACATCATATTTTAAATCATATTCAGTAACCTATTTTATGAATATTATGGGTGTCCTTGCCTTTGCAGAAGGCATCCTCATGTAGCCACATGTTTTCCCAATTCCTTCCAGTGACAGACAATATTGCACTGGAATGTTGCATTGCAGTGTTGCAATGTTTCATTATCATCTTTGAACATGAAAAAGAAATGCAATGTCCCAGCAAGCCTGTATTTTCTACTGCTGTGTTATAAGATAAATTAGCTGGTTTCATGGGTCTAAGAGTCTTGCCTTCTCCCAAATAAGCCCCCAAAACACCCCTCTAATAAAAGCTACCTGAGAGCAACTTTTCATGAAGTGCCACCTTCACCCTCCAGGTTTCAAAGCAAGAATTAGAACATTAAATGATAAAACCCTTATTATCTTTTATGCGCACATTCAGCTAAGCACCATACCTAACATTTCTTACTTTTTAAATATTTCGCAAGGAACCAACTTTTCCTATTTCTTTTCCATTCCAGGCATCTCTCATCCTGATTACTATAATATCGCTAAGTTGACCTCTCCTCTCTCACCCCCCTGAAAACCCAGCAGCCTGGCAATCTTTATAATACTTGTTTTTATACTATCATTCGCTACTTAGACATATCCCAATGGTCCTATCGCCCTCAGGTTAGAGGAAACATTTCTCAATGCACCTTTCTACATCCCTTGCTTTCTTCTCTGGCCTCTTATGATCCCTTCTCTAGAAAATCTCTACTCCTTGCCCCTCTATTATGTTACCTTCCCCATCACACCTTCGACCTTCCACATTGTGTTCACCCTGCTATGGTCTACTCTCGGAAAAACCCTTGGTATGGGGTTCCCTGATGATATCCTGAAGTACAGATTTCTCCTCATGGGATGCAAAATAGAGCAGAATTTTATTATGATTCTTAAGTTGCTACAAGATATGTGTGCCCCTTCTCAGAGCTGACCTACTAGCTCGTGAGAAGAGAGGATATGACAAAACTACTTTCTATGAAAAACCCACCATTATTTAGAAACCATGCTACTTTCTTGATAGTGGTGTTGTTTTCAATGTTTCTGCTACACAGATTAAATGGAGAAAACAGGTAAGGGAGATAAGGGATTTGTGACTGAGTGTGACCAGGTGTTAAGTTTTGTTTTTGCATAAGGAGTAATAATAGGGAAGAAAACTATTGAGAATCATCTAATTGGTCCCATAAAGCTCAGCCTGCGCAGGCAGGAGAACACTACCACTTCTAAGTGAGTCATTCACTTAGGACTATTTGAACTCCCCTAAAGCCTCCCCATACCCCTCAATATATTAGGGTATTGAAATCAAGGTGATTGATGTATGTAAGCCACTCAAAGAAACTTTGATAAGAAATAAATGTAGGTGAACTCCTTTGGCTGACATCTGCTTCTTGGTATGCTGAACTAAAGAATTCTATCCATGCATCCCAAGAAGGGCATCATCCTGACTTTGGCAACTCTTAGAACATCTCCTACACCACAAGCTTCATAAATTTGGGGATCTATCTGACTTGTTTACCATGAATCTCCAGCATCTAGTGCAGTGCAGGGCACATGGCAGGAAACTAAAAAAAAAAAAAAAAAAATTGGTTGGGATGAATGATGAACTGAATGAGCAGAAGAGACAATAAAAGACAGTAAGGTGAGGAGGTTCTCCTTTTTCTTTCCATAAATGACAAGGTGCAAGCAGTTCATAACTGTGGAATCCTTCTTATCCATTTTGAAGTAACAAATAGCAGAAAAGTGGGTGGCAGTAAAAGTGTGTCTTATCAGATCCCCAGTGGTTGTGCATCACACTGTGCCACTGATTAAAAAAAAAAAAACAGGGGGAAAGAATCTCTTCCAGCTTCATTGTTGTAGAGAAAGCAAGGAAGAAAACTCACAGGCTGGATGGTATTCACCTAGACGCAAAGACACTGCTTTAGGATGTCTGTCTAGAGGGGGAAATATGCTATGTTGATCAAACATGCAGGCCTTTATTTGAGATCTGCATTGACATTTAGCATCATGAAGCAAGGTTATTGTACCCCAGGAAGGAGAGAGATGTACCTGTGTACTCAGACCCACACACTCAGAACATCTCAAGACAAGTGCCTTTAGGGTTCATCCCTGTACTTTCTAGGTAAGCTAGAGCAGGCTGTTAAATGAAAACTTCCATTAGTGCTTCCCATATCGTCTTTCTGGATCTCAGTGCCTTGAGATACTCCCAATAAATACTGGTCCCAGATCAGACAAATAAGGAAATGTTACACATCTTGCTCCCTTGTTTAGAAATAAATAATTCAAATTAAAATCTCATCAGATCCTTAAAAAGGAGGCAGATTCTGACATATCATACAGCAAGGATGATACTTGAGAATATTAGAAGGGAAATAAATCAGTCAAAAAAAAAAGACAACTACTATATGAATCCACTTATACAAGGCACCTAAGCAGCAAGTTCATAAAGATAGAGAATAGAATGGTGGGTACCAGGGGCTGGAGGGAGGGGGAATAGGGAGTTGTTTTTTAATGGGTACAGAGTCTCTGGGATGATGAAAGAGTGGGAAGATGGCTGGTGGCGAGGGTTGCCCTGAATTCTAACTGCTACTGA